GTCTTCAAAGATATCATCTTGAGTAGCACGCATGTCAAATACGCGATCATATATGTGTTGCTTTCTTTTGTCATCTTTCCATGGATGTTCAACTGTAAACTCATCCACAGTTGCGAGCATTTGTTTTTCCCACTCTGAACTCTCTTTTTCATTTAGAGGTCTTATACGACAATAAACTCTAATCTTCCCTTTCATATCTACGATTCAATTTTAAAAAACATCAAAAACATTATAAATTTCAATAAAACACGCCTAAGAATCTTATTGTACATACTTGAGCATCATGTTACCTTCTATGGTATTATAATATCTTTTCCTGAGAACTTGTTCTTCCTTATAAAGTATTTCTAGCTCAGCAAGTTGGGCTCCTTGCATCTTCAAAATGGCAGCTGTTTGCTCATTTTTTCTGTCAATGTCCTTAAAAATGAAATTGGAATGTAAGAACCTCCATCTAATTAAATAATTTTTTGAACTAAATAGTGAAAATACGTTTTCAACAAAGAAAAACAAAATAAAAACAACGAAGAAGACTAAAGAGTTCCAATACCTCTTTCATTTCTCTTAACTCCTCAAGCTCTTTCAAGCTACTCTGCAACAGCATCATGTCAGAATTCTTACTTTCAATCGCGGACTCAGCACTATCCAAGTCTTGAGTAAGGACTTCAAGCTTATTTTCAAGTTCAGAGACTCGAAGCTTTAACACCTTTTTTTCTTGTTCATATCTCTTTTGATGAATTTCAACCTAAAATATTGATCTGTCAACAATACGCAAACATTTGCAACTTCTCAATTTTAAATCGGCCATAGATCTAATACATCGAATTCACCTCCTCTTTTTTCTTCTTTTCAGTATTGAAAATACTTTGCTCCAAAATCTTGTTTTCGCTCAACAACCTCTTGGAGGTATCAACTGCAACGTGCAATTCCTTATTTCGAACTTCTAACTCCTTTTGGATCTTGTATAATATCTGTTACATAAAATTCATTGTTGTAGGAAAACAGAAGTGCTAGCAAATAGAAACATAGAGACTCAATTATTATAGCATACGACAACGAATTACAATTAAACTCATGATCTTCACCTGATTATTCATTTCATTTAATTCTGATTTTGTCTCTTTACTTGATTTTGTGTTGCCTGACTTTGCCAACCTTGCTTCCATTCCTCGTAGTTCAGACATCAAGGTCTACAGCATACAAAGAATAAATAATTAAATAACTTCAATGACGCATCAAAAGAAAGAGAAAGTTGTGTTATAACTAACTTGAATAGTTGACCCTTTCTCGTCACACAACGACCTAAGTTTATCCCGTTCTAAGGTAACCTCCAGTAACTTTTTCCTTTCAAGCTCCAAACCATTGCGTATAGCTTCTAACTCTTCACGCAGAGTAACTTCTTGCTGATTTTTCACTCGCAATTCATCCATCAACTACAACAACATAAAACATACAAATAGTCATCAGCATGCAATTCTAGAAAGAAAAGATGTCACGGAATCACATTCTACCAATAGCAACATGAGATAGAAGGAGTGGTGATATGTACTGATATATCTTACAACTGCCAAGCATTAAACCATGAAAAATCCAGCTATAGTATGTTATTACATGTTTTAAACAGAGATCAGCATTGCCTCTATAATTTAATTTTACACGAAGAAACAAGATGGTGTACCTTATCAATATTCTTTTCGGATTCTTCATATGCCTTAGACAAATCTTGCACACGTTTTTCATACACTTCAAGATTTTGAGTCTTCGAACTGCAAGATATATCTCCATTTACCAAGCTATTGGCAGCAGATCGAGCTTTGGAATAACGACGCAACATGACATCATTTATATGGGTTTGCAAAGCAACACAAATTTCTTCTCCCTACAATTAATAAAACACTGGTTCACCTTTACAAGTTGCCAAATTGAATATATTGTAAGGAATAGATTTGTAATGATAATGATTTACAAATAATAATGTCTGAACCTGTTTTGTTTCAAACTGAAATATGTGAAGAACACCAGCAACTCTCATTTTGAAAAAGACGGCAGTGTTACTGCTGCCAAATTGCATTATGTCACGTAGTTCAGCAGAGTGCAAATACTCTTTAGGAACCGGTCGAAAAAAGTGAACCTATGAGAAAGCAAACAAATTAAAATCCAGCAACATACATTTGAATTTCAAACAACAATAACAGATTTTTTATGTATAACATCTATTTTGCACTGACCCCACGTTTGTTGATACCCAAAATGATTCGCCCTGGTAAAAGGCCAATTGGATCATCTATCTTGCGTACGCTGAAAAACACCGAATTCCCATATGGCAATGCCTTTAGTATCCGTAGAAATTGTTGTCTTGCATCATCTTTGGTTACGTTCTCCTACATTCCCACAAACAAATACAAAATATCATTTTATAATGCTATCACTCCAATCAGTTTTTTATTTGGCAAAGGCGTCTTGAAAGGGAAAGACGATACTAAAAAAGCATTAAATAATTCCTACCATTGAACGGTAGCGAGCTAGGATATCCAATTCCCATTCACGCTTTGCTCGGGTTATTGCTATTTGTCTCGGCAAAAAGCGCTCAAGAAGTGATGTCCAGTCACTGACACGTGACAAAATGAGAAAGAAAATCATATTATTAATGGAACATTGGAAAAACACAACGTCGTAACTGCGCAAATAAATTCAATGGCTTAGCTTAAGAAAAATTGAAGATACAAGTCTCTTAATAAAGAATTTAGAATACTAACATGCATGACTCTGGGCTGTTGACAAACCCAATCCCTACGAGAATTTGCAAGGCACAAAGCTGAGCAGCATCGTCCCTCCCAACAGGATAGTTTCCTAATAAATAGTCATGTTGCAGCTGCATGTATATGTGTTAGCAAGGAAACACATGTTTTTCGTGTGGAAATTATATTTATGACGAAACTGCTCACTTGAACATATGAAAGCTGCACAAACATCAGATCAGTTACAGCTTCATCAGACTCTCGAAATAGTTTTTTTTTAAAGACCAGTTTGCAGTGTAATATCTCTCCTTTATTTCGGTCTTTTATAGCTTTGAATTCTGCAAGGAGATCTCCAATATACTTGTTATCATCCAATCCAATATATTCCTCTGCAAGTAAGCAGATTAAAAAATGATTAATAATGTAGTATAACTTTGAAATGTATGATCAAGAGAGAGAGAGAGAGAGAGAGAGTCATATGAAAACATACCATTTCCAGGATCAGATGATTTTGAACTTGAAACAACTTTACGACATTCAAACAAACTAAAGCTAGAGAAAGCTGAGAGTTTAATTGTCCCAGCTAGTTCCTGATACGGATATGTCAATACAGTGAGAAAAATTCAATCATAAACAAAGGGAAAAAGGAAAATGCGAGAACAAACGCATTACTAAATTTACTTCCTCAAACAATAATATGATCAGCTAGCAGTGCACTGCAAGGAAACTAAATTATGGTAAAAGAATTCAAGAATATACCTCAACAGCATCAGACACTGTTGTAGCCATGTCATATGATATTTCCTCAAAAGTTTCATCCAAAAAGAAGACTATGGTCGTGAGCTTTCTTCCGGTCAAAAGGGCTTCAATTTCTTCACGGCCAGGTGTGCTATGCCTAGGACCAGCTTTGATAGAGCGCTTTAAAGCCTTCAAAGTATTCACAGCAAGAACTTGAGCCTCCGGTTCGATTGTAGCATCGTGTGCCACATTATGAATATACTCAGATAGATATCCACCAATATCTTTGCTTGGAGGCATTGAAGACGCACATAAGTACATCAATTCCCAAGCTTTGATCAAGTATTGCCTGATAATATTCCAAAAGGGGAAAAGGTAGCAGAGATGCAACGGAGTTAAAAATAAAAGTAAGGCCATGAGCATATAACTAAAATGGTATGTGCCGGGAAAGAAATAATGGAATGCACCTGTCAGGATTATGTCTGGTCTGTTTGGAGATTTGAGCAAAAAGTTCGTCCCGGAGTTCAACACGTTTCAAAGTTTTCTTGAAGAGCTTTCCAACAAGTTCAATGCGTTCATCTAAACTGGGAGGCGTTGATCGATCAGATGAATCAACGCCCATATATTTTAAGATGAGATGAAATAACTTGGTAGCACGGCTGACGAGATCGCTGTTTATCTTGAGAAGAGATGTGGGGATGGGATCCTGAAAGGGGGAGACAACATTTAAGCACAACGCAGATGGATTTTTACTGACGGGACTGAGAAAGGAGAATTGAAAAACCTTCTGAAAGCAAAGCATATCCTCAAATGTGAAGCGCTCGCGGACATGAGAGCCAGAGGACTTTTTAGAATAGAAGAAGCCACGCTTGCCAGCAGACTGGATTTGCTTCTGCATAAGCCGCAAAAAAGCTTCAACCTGGAAGCGATCGATGAGGGGAATGGCGGCAGCAAGCTCGGCAGGAATTGACAAAGCCACTTGAGGAGCTGGGGAGCTGCGACAGAATAAATGTTTTTTTTTTTTGAAAATTGAGAGAGGAGTTTTGGAGAGAGAAGGAGAAGAAGAAGCGAAGACTTACAGAGGAGGAAGAGAAGACGATTCAGCATCAAAGTCGGTCCCAGAGGGATTGGGAACATAAAAGCAAGAAGAAACGTCGGCGGCGACTTCGGTGCCATTGCCAGAGCTCAACGAAGAATTACTGCCTCGTTGGCCCTCCATAGCCGAAGAAAAAGAGAGATTGTAGATCTGAGGAAGCGCAAATTTGCCCACAAACTTTGGGCAGAGAGAGTAAGGGAGAGACGAGAGTCACGGGAGACTTTTAATTACCTCTTCTTCTTCACATTCAATACTTCACGATGCAGCTGAATTTTAATTTTCTAAATATTTTTTGTTGTTTAATGAAGATGAGTTAATCGAAGGGGATCACTCGGCATTGTTGTGTAGGGTTGAAACCAAATAAATGAACAATCCAACTCCAAAGAGACGTGCTTCCACGTCCATTGGCCATGGTTGTGCCTCCAACACCATATACAAATCTTAACATCTGCTTTGCTTTGGTGTCAACTCTCAATAGTCAATACAATAATGGATTATCTATGTATGCCAGGCCTATTCAACACAAGTGTTGTTACATTTATTCTCTTTTTCAGACCGACGTAAACCATAGTGCTCCATCACCTTCTCCACTTCACAGCTTTGCGATAGCTAAACCAGGCAAGTTTTTTCGTGACAGAAGCTTTAGATCCTCCCATTCCTCTTCTTCCCCCATCCTCTCAAAGTACTGCTCTACCATGCTATCCTTCATGTCCTCCAGTCGCCTTGGCTCCCACTATAATTTCAGCAACACTGCATTATATCAAGCAGTGTGACATAACCACAAATACCAAATATAGAGACTTGTTCAAACCTTTGGGTTCTTATCTTTGTCTACCAATATAGCTCTGCACCCCTGCATAAGTAAGACACGTTGTTGTAATTACATTCAACAACAAGGACAGTTCGGAAGGAAAATACAATCAGGGAAGCTTGCAAAACCTCTACAAAATCTTTGCTGATTTCTCCCTTCATCACATGACACACCATTCTAAACTCACGAATAAGACACTGCCCCACTCCCTGCAATCGCCCTTCTCTTATCTGAATATATACACAGTCAGCTCTTGTCATAATTTTCTATGATGCCTTCTGGGAACTAGGAACTAACCGATCTCAGAGAGATTTTAAGGCTTGCTGGTGAAGCCTTCTTCAATGCTAAAATGGTAGCTGGGATCCAACCATCTGCTTCTTGAGTGGCCTCTCTCTCCTAAGCAACACACGGTCGTACAGTGCATTGTCAAAGGTAAATAAGTCACTCAGGATTGCAAGTCACCGTACCTATATATAAATGGAAAGCTTACAAGTGCAGATATAATTTCTTCGACAGTTCTCCTTGAGAAGCACCTATCGATAACATCTAACCTGCTAAACAAACGGAAATATAAGAGGCAGCTGTCCTCTTCACTTTTTAATTCACAGATTTCACACAAATGTTCAATTGAAGATATGATGAGAAATGAATTCTGTAAAGAGCGATTGAAAAGCTGACACCAATACAAGATTGAAATTATATGGTCAATAATAGAGCAACAACCTAAAATGCAAGCCATTTTGGCATGAAAAGAAGATATTAAGTAAAAGAGATAAAATCATATACACTTGCCTGTGGTAAGCACTCTGCTGTTTCAAACGCGGTTGCTGGGTGTATGCATCGAGAACTGTTGAGGCAAAGGTCGGATCACTTGAACCAATTTTGCAAAGGTCTGCTTCTAATGCAGTCAACCTCTGTGAAAAAAATAAGTACCATTACTAAGTAACAATCCTTTTCTTTTTGGTATGGAGTATCAATCATTGGTGAAGCATCTAGTGCTTGACACTAGTAGCTAAAAAAAAACTGAATTGTAAAAGTCATTTGGAATATCTTTGGATATAGAGACTAAGAAAATTTACAGACTGCAAGATTGGTTATGGACACTTATAATTTATAATAGTCAACTACACTCCAAATCCTGACAGTCGACAGAGATGCCTCAAACTTTCCTTGGCAAGAAAAATGGAGAATCCATCTCTTACAGGGTATTCCTATGTTTATTGTTCAAATTCAACTGAAAATTAATATATAATTTTGCATCTGTCATAGTCCACTAATTAAGAAGGAACAATGTCCTCGTGTTTAGCATGTCAAGTTGCTATCATGCCGGAAAAGGGGACTACTAAAGATGTAAGGAAAGGAAGTTTATACCTTTGAAGGCACAAAATGAGTTGCAAGACCACAAGCAAGCATTTCAGCGCCATCTAATCTAGCTCCTGTGAGACCGACATACTCTCCTGAACAAGAAAACAGGAAGGATGGGGGATAGCCTCATTCATTCTCAAACTTTCGTGGCTTTAAGAACGTCCTTATAGCAAAATTGAAATATAAATTTTGTTACCAAAAAATCCTGGGAGCCTTGACAAGAAGTAGGAGGCGCCTATATCTGGAAAGAGCCCCAGAGCTGTCTCAGGCATGGCAAAAACCTTGGGGAAAGTCAAAAGATATGAGGAAATTTTGGAGGGACATATTTTTCATCCATGGACATCTATAAGAAAAGAATACCGTGCTCTCAGTTGCAATACGAAATCGACCATGGACGGACACACCAGCTCCCCCTCCCATGACAATACCATTCAAAATTGAAATCTAATCGGAAAACAGTGTAGATTATTAATAATGAACTTATACACTCGGGGTGAGTCATTAAAAGGAGATTCTAGTGAGACCTGAGCTTTGCTATATGTGGCCATAACATAGTTGAGCATGTATTCATCTGAGAAGAACTTGGCACCGAGTCTCCAGTTACCTATTCAACCAAAGATAGACAAAGAGTGTATAGAAGCTGAAAGTAAGAAAAGGAAAAGAGAGAGGGGCGGGTGGTAAACCTTGTTCGATGTCCCGAACAACAGCTGCAACATCGCCACCAGCACAAAAGGCTCTTCCCAGACCCTGTGGGAAAGTCATTGAGTACTGTGCGCAAACGGAAGAGATAAGGATAATGATTACCTTTAGGATGACAAGATTGACACTAGGGTCCTCCTCATATGCAAGGAACAGTTGCAGCAACCGAGAAATCTAGAGAAGATTGAGTCAACCAAACATGTACAAGAAGGGAGGAGAAACAAAGAAGAAGGGAAAGATCTAATACCATGGGGAAGGACAGAGCATTCAGCTGCTTGGGTCTGTTTAGTGTCAAGATTCTAACCCCCGATTTCTCTTCAACCACAACCTGTGATCAAATTAATTTAGAGAGGGAAGAACTGATCGTTGTCGACTCGGATGAATGAAGAAGAAGAAGAAGAAGAAGAAAAAGACCTGAGAGTGAGAGGCCAACTCGACTGCCATCTTTCTTACTGCTTAGATTCGCCTTTGTATCCTCCGAAGATATACCTGAGAGAGAGAGAGAGAGAGAGCGCATCAAATGGCATTTGCCGGATTGGACATTGTTTGTTTTCTTTTTTATGGACAAGAACTTTTTTTTTATTACTTTTGTTTAATAGCTTAAAAAAATATTTAAAAAAAAACCTTCCCGATTAGTTTAGAAAGTTGATGTTGGGCCTTAAAGTGGACATTTTGGTCTTGGAATTGTAATCAGTATGATTTTCATAATGGGCTTTATGTTTTGGTCACCCTAAAGTCAAATGAAAAACTTTGGTTTTCCAATCTCATCTCAATTTCGAAATCCTCTTGCAACATGCAACTATGCAAGCACCTTTGTGTTAAAGAGGAATGAAAGCGGTGTTGGTACTCTTTAGTCTTCTTCATTGTTTTTACTTTATTTCTCTTCGTTATTTGGTTCAAAATTTTATTTAACTATATGGAGGTGCTTACATTCCAATTTCATGTTTTAGCTAACAAGTTGGTCTTTTTATCTAATCAAGCGTGAAAGGAATTTATACACCTATTAGTAGCTAACAAGTTATGATTATTATTCAAGTGTAAAAGGAATATACAAACTTAAATATAGACATCTTTCCCCTCCAGATGGATTTATCCAAAGTTGTGGTTGGTCGTTAACCTCGTATGCTCTCTAACCATGTGTCACACATCTCACGAACTACCTATTAAGATATACTATAATCTTATTTACTAAGATGTTGGAAATAAAGACTTGAAGCGTTTCTCTCTCCTAGGGCGTAGGCGATTAGAAGACAAAGGTGACTGCGTTCTCTACCCTCCTCCGTCGTCACCCACGGCGGCGGAATCCGCCTCCATTTTCCTCCTCAGATCCTCCCCTTGTGATGGGGAAGTCAAATTCCAAGAAAAAGAAGAAGCCCTCCGGCTGGATCTCTCCGGTCTCTCCCCCAGCCTCCGTCTCCCATGTTGATCTTTCTTCTCCGCCTCTGGTTTGTCCTCCTCCTTCTGTTACCCTATCTCCGGTAGCCAGTGCCTTAGATGAAGCGCAGTCTTCAATCTCGGCCACAACGCTAGTCTCCGGTGAAGTCCAGACTCAAGTCTTCCCATCTCTGAATCCCGCGGATGCTATTGCGAGTGCTGTCCCAACACCACTTCCCAATCAAATTGATGCCCAATCGATTGATGGCCAGACCAGCCCTTTGGTTGCTCCCGTCAGTGCGCCTGTGAAGGTTGTTTCTCCAACTGATCCAGTTATTTCGATTCCACCAACGACTGCGAATGCTGAAGGCTCAGCGGACCCAGAAAAAAGAGAAGCTACTGAACAGCCGGATTGGCTTCATCTGTTCAAAGGCTCCTCTCGACCGTTGTCTAAGAAAGGAAAATCCTTTACTTTACCATCGGGTGAAGCTTGTGTGGATATCCCAGACTCGGTCATTGAGAAACATCAAAAATCTTGCGAGTCTTTCATCATAGGCCAGTTCTATTCGGATCCACCTCCTCAAGGCACAATTCACACAATTGTAAATGGAATCTGGAGTCGCCAATTTCGTGATGTCTCGGTCTCGAAATTGGAAGGGAATGCTTTCCTTTTTAGAATTCCAAACTTTCAGACTAGAACCAGAGTGATTAATCAGAGGCTCTGGAACATTGATGGTCAGACTATGTTTGTTGCTAATTGGGAACCAGGTGTTGATCCTGTGAAGCCAGAGCTTTCCTCAGCTCCAATTTGGTTAGAGCTCAGAGATGTGCCGTTTCAATTTTTCAACGATGATGGTTTGGAGCGTATTGCAGGGCTTGTTGGTGATCCAAAGTATCTGCATCCGGACACAGCGAAGAAAACAAATCTTGAAGTTGCAAAGATTTTCACTATTATCGATCCAAGGAAACAACTCCCAGAGGCGGTAAATGTCCGTTTTCAGTGTGGTGAAATCAGGCGTGTTAAAGTGTCCAGCCCGTGGATGCCTCCTATCTGCTCTGTTTGCAAGGAGGTAGGGCACACTCCAAAGAGGTGTAGATCAGCCCCAGTTACCTGCTCTGGTTGCAGCTCTTCTTCTCATCTTCTTAATGCTTGTCCTAGAGTTGGTAAGAAGAAAAAGCAGCCTCAGTACAAACCTAAGTCTGTGCCTCCCCCCCAGCCTCCAGTGTCCTCTCCCCAGCCTCCTCTCAAGATAATCAACGATCTTGAGCCTTCTTCAGGGGTTTTTTCGGGTCCAGTTCTTGTAGCAAGGTCCTCATCTCCTCGGCTTTCACAGCATCTGCAGGGGGAATCGAGTGGTCGAAAGGGTACTGATGTATCCTCCGGCGTGTCTACTGCAGAACCTGATTCTTCGGATACGTACTCGAGCGAATCTGTTTCGAGTGGTGATGACAGACTTGAGGAATAGGATTATGGATTCACAGAAGTGTTGCCTAAAAAGCAGCGCAGACGTGAGCGAGGTAATGGCCTCAAAATCAATTGATTTTTATGTGTAGTGAAACTTTTTGTTGGAATGTCCGAGGCTTTAATAAGCTTTCTCATCGTACCGGATTTAAGAAATGGATTCGAAGAAATAAGTCTGTTTTTGGTAGTCTTTTAGAGACGCATGTACAGCGGTCTAAGAAAAATAAGTTTGTTAGTGACCTTATGCCTGGTTGGTCCTCTGAAGATAATTATGGGTTTTCTGCGCTTGGTAAAATCTGGGTTCTTTGGCACCCTACGGTTAAGGTAACCATCATTTCTAAGTCTCTCCAAATGATTACGTGTGAAGTTGTGTTGCCTTCTTTCCAGCATCCTTTTGTGGCCTCTTTTGTGTATGCTTCAAATGAGGAAGCAGAGAGGATTACTCTTTGGGAGGAGTTAAAGGTATTGTCTCAGAGTTCTGCTCTTGCTCAGAAGCCATGGTTAGTCATGGGAGATTTCAATCAGATTCTTCACCCTTCAGAGCATTCTTCTTTAAATAGGTCTTACGTAAACAGATCAATGACGGATTTCAGCAATTGTCTCCATTTTGCTGAGCTTTCCGATCTTACTTTCAGAGGTTACTCCTTCACTTGGTGGAATAAGAGGAAGGAAAATCCTATTGCTAAAAAGCTGGACAGAATCCTAGTCAATGAAGAGTGGCGTGTTCTTTTTTCGCAGTCGTTTGGTCATTTTGGGGAACCGGATTTCTCTGACCACTCTCCTGGTCTTTTGAGTTCTTCTGCAACCTACACTAAGCAGAAAAAAGCTTTTAAGCTCTACACCTTCTTGTTAAACAATCCTGCATTCATTGACTTGGTTTGTTCGCATTGGTTCTCTTTTAATGTGGTGGGATCTGATATGTTTCGAGTTTCTTGGAAGTTGAGAGCACTAAAGAAATTAATAAGGGATTTCAGTAGATGCAATTACTCAAACCTAGAGAAGAGAGTGCAAGAAGCACATGAAAAGCTCCTAGCTGCTCAAGGTAATATGCTTTCTAGCCCATCTATCTTGAATGCTCAGCTGGAGGAGGATGCTCAAAGTAGATGGCTTATCCTCTCAAAGGCAGAAGAGAGCTTTTTCAGACAAAGATCAAGTATTGGTTGGCTAAGAGATGGGGATTGCAATTCACGATACTTTCATCGTATGGCTAATCAGAGGAAAGCTATTAATCATATTCATGCCCTTGTTAATGATAATGGGGACATTATTGATTCCCCTCAAGGCATTCAGGATGTTTGCATCGCTTACTTCTCGGATTTGCTTGGTAAAGATGTGCCAGCTCCTTTGTTTGTCCAAGAGGACATATCTTCTCTGCTAGACTTCTCTTGTTCTGACAGCCAGAGCCAATCTCTTGTTGCTCCTTTCTCAAATGAGGAGATTAGAGATGCCTTCTGCTCGCTTCCTAAAAACAAGACGAGTGGACCTGATGGGTATCCTGCTGAATTTTATGTAAGTTGCTGGAGCATTGTGGGGGGAGAAGTCATTGCTGCTATAAAGGAGTTTTTCTCGTCGGGGCAGCTTTTGAAACAGTGGAATGCTACTACTCTGGTGTTGATCCCAAAAATTTCTAATGCGTCCAAGCCCTCTGAGTTTAGACCAATCTCTTGCCTCAACACTCTGTATAAGGTGATCTCCAAACTCCTAGCCAATCGGTTGAAGTCCTTTCTCCCGGAAGTTATATCTACCTCCCAGTCAGCTTTCATCCCAGGTAGGCTCTTGTCTGAAAACGTCCTGCTGGCCACTGAAATTGTTCATGGCTACAATAGGAAAAATATTGATCCAAAAGGTATGTTAAAGGTGGATCTTAGGAAGGCTTTTGACTCGATAAGATGGGACTTCATCATCTCAGCTCTTAGAGGGATTAATGCTCCTGAGCGTTTTATCTCCTGGATCTCGGAATGTATTACTACTCCTTCCTTCTCTGTTTCTGTTAATGGAGCTTCTGGAGGATTTTTTAAAAGTCAAAGGGGATTAAGACAGGGAGACCCGCTGTCTCCGTATTTATTTGTCCTCGCTATGGAGGTGTTTTCTAAGCTCTTACTATCAAGGTACAATGCTGGTTATATATTCTATCATCCCAAAACATCAGGTCTGAACCTTTCTCACTTGATGTTTGCGGATGATGTGATGATCTTCTTTGATGGTGGGAGCTCCTCTCTTCATGGCATTACTGAAACTTTGGACGATTTTGCTGGATGGTCAGGGCTCAGCATGAACAGAGAAAAGACCGAGTTATTTCTGGCTGGGGTTAATGACATTGAGTCTATGGCTATTTCTCACTACGAATTTCCTAGAGGTACTTTGCCAATCACTTACTTGGGTCTCCCTCTGATGTGTAGGAAGCTAAAAGTGAGGGAATACGCTCCGCTAGTTGAGAAAATAAAAGGAAGGTTCTTGAGCTGGGCTGTGAAGTCTCTCTCTTTTGCAGGAAGGCTTCAGCTTATATCTACAGTTATCACTGGAATGGTAGTCTTTTGGATATCCACTTTTAAGCTCCCAAAAGGCTGTTTAAGAGAGATTGAGTCGCTTTGTGCAAGATTTCTTTGGACTGGTGGTATTGTGAATCATAATAAAGCTAAAGTTTCTTGGTCTAAAGTCTGCTTGCCAAAGTCAGAAGGAGGTCTGGGTCTCAGAAGGTTT